CCATCCATCCATCCATCCATCCATCCATCCATCCATCCAGCTAAACTTGTCGTTCTCTTTAGATCTTGTTCGTCGCTGGTCTGGCTTTCGTCATCGGGTTGGAGCGGACGTTCCGCTTCTTCTTTCAGAAGCATAAGTTGAAGGCCACCAGTTTCTTCCTGGGAGGAGTGCTTGTTGTTCTTATTGGCTGGCCTATCGTTGGAGTCGTGCTGGAGGTCTATGGGTTTTTTCTGCTCTTCAGGTCAGAGGAAGTGATGGGAATGCTTTAACCTGAACCCATAATCCCTTAATGTTTGTCTTTTTAACTCTTTGTGTTGACTCCATCTCTCCTGACATCCTCTTTGCTCGTGGCTTTGCAGGGGCTTCTTCCCGGTTGTTGTTGGCTTCATCAGAAGAATACCGGTTCTGGGTTCGATCCTGAACCTGCCCTTCATCAGTGCAGTGAGTATTACCCAGCATGAAGGTGCCAGAGGGACCATTTTTCTCTGTCTTTTGGGAGATTTTAAGTGTGGTGTGCCCCTCCCACACCTGTTGCTGTGCACTAGTGGTCAGCTCTCTGAGAGGACCCCCTTTACAAAGGATCTGTTTTTTTAGCTGCGCCTGTTGCAGCCAATCACACTGCAGGAAATCAGTCATTTAGAGCAATCATCAGAATGGAGGAAACATGGATTTAAAATGACTTGTTGGTGTCAGACAGGAGGGTCTGAGAATCCCAGAGGATTTTATAAACAACGCTCTCTGTCCATGAAGAAAGAGAGATTGTATCCAGTGATCTGCAGCTGTTTTCAGAGTTGAATCAGTGGACTGTTTAATGAAAAGGTCAAATAACTGCTTTTTACAAATAGATGTTCAGAATACCATATCAGAAGACACGATCTTTGAAACTGTGAAGCATTAGCTCCGGGAGCAGCAGAGACCGGATCAAAAGACCGAAGCGATTTTCACAAAGTCTCAGTCTAATAATGCCGCCATGTCCGTACGGAGTAAAAAGGTTCGAGGACGGATTCTGACTGGTTGTTTTCCTGCAAGGAGGAATAAATGCTGCTATAGAGGATCAACCTGGTACTACTTTACCTTGGCCTAAGGTGTCCACAGTATTCATGTTTATTACTCAAGTATAAATCCTGCTGTTTAAAAACACTTTATTAGAAGTTAGACGATCAACTTCAGCTTTTTACTCCAGTAAAAGTGCTAAAGTGCCATTTTTGAAACTACTTAAAGTATGAAAGTAAAAGTAATGCAGGAAAAAAAAATTCACAGAAAGTTCCTTAGACTTCATTTTCTGAGTTTTATAACTAAAGGTGTCACATCTTACTTTGCATCATCTTTAAAAACGTTTCTTTTTAGAATGTTGAGAACAAGTTGAGGCAGCACCGAGTCCAAATTAACTGTGTGGATGAAGTCCAGTCAGCAAAGAATAATCAATGGATCATTATTTATACCTAAAACTAATAAGTCATGGTGATTTAATGAATTCAGTAAAAAATACAAAACAATCATTTTTGTCGCAATCACTGAGTCTTTGCCCAAATCTAGTAGCCCCTCCCTCCTGCCATCTTCCAGCAGTGACGTCACGGTGCGGTAATCCTAGCGCCATTCTCCCCGCTTTCCAAGCTAAATCAATGGGAACTACTAGACACATCTGCAATCAACAACAATTATTGAAGATTTCCAGAGGACTTCACCATTGAAATTCACTCTGAATTAAAAACACTGATAATTTATTGAGGAGAATGTAATCATCTAAGAGTTAAACTACTTTCAGAGTACTCTGGATATGAGCGGACTTTTCCTTTAAGAAATAAAGGAAACTAATTAAGAGCAACACCAAACAT